CGTCCGAACGAAGTTACGGGAAATTAATTAACAAAACGGAGACGTAACAATACTTACATTTGACAACTTCAAAAACTACTTCATAAAATTTGTGCTTGATTATCTCTTCAGCTTGTAAAACATTGGCGGATTTCAGTGAATAATTAAATGATACTTTATAACCAATTTCTGAAAAGTTGCTGTTGTCGCTAGTGAAGAAAGGCTTTAAAAACTCCACTGCTTTGCGAAGTGTTGCATAGGAATATTTACTAGGAGATTTGAAAAATACTTCAGAATATCTCCTACTGAAAAGGGTAAAATATGGACAATAATTCTGGTCTTCATCACAAGCAGAAAAGAAGATCGAACGTCTCATCAAAGCATTTCTATTCAGTTCAGACGTTTCTTCATTACGATTCAAAGTGAAATCGTCTTTTTTCTTCGTGTTAGGTGGAGTGTCTTGATTTATGATCCGATTTAAAGGCTTCAAATTCAGGCTCCAGGGTATAATTGACGCTTTCACGTGTGGTGAAAACATAGTGTCGATGTCAACCCGCCTTCCTGTATAAAAATACACAATACTTGAAATTATAAATATTCAGTGAGATTTTCTTCACACTGTTGAACTTACATAAAAAGATATCAGAACATATAATAACATCAATATCAGGCCAGGGAATATCGGTAATTTTAAAGTGATTCACTGGTGACGTAAATCGGCAATATTATCTATATTAATATTATTACTTTAATTTTTAAAGCATATTTAACCCCCCACCCAGTTGTTCAGTCATAAGACTGGAAGCTAAATGCTGGGTTTTCGATACCCGTAGTAGGCAGAGCATAGATAGCTAATTGTGTGACTTTGTGCTTAACTACAACCAACAATAAAGGCACAGTTGAGTAAAAATCTTGCGATAAGTACTATCTACTTAGTATAAATTAAATTTATGTTTTCAATAAACTTTAACAGGTACGCCTACATTTAATTCATAGGTAGTGTTAACTGACAATACACAGGTGTGTGAATACACACCACCAGCAAACACATTTTCAGCTTAGTGCTACCACCTAGTGACTCAGCGGAAAGTCTGCAGGCTTACGACGCTAAAAAATCAGGTTTTGATACCAGTGTTGGGCATAGCAAAGATAGCCCATTGTGTAGCTTTGTATTTAGCAACAACCAGCCAACCAATGCCTAGTGCTGCTACCTAATAAAATCATCGTGATCTCTTTTTGTAATTAGTTTCGTTGCATTCAAAGATGGCGCCAGCATTCACTGATTTAACAGTGAACAGCTACAGACATTCTAATCATTTCTGTGACTAAGTCAAAACCTACAAGAGAGGTCAATCATAGTTGCTTCCACAATTTATTAGCGCTGTTAGATATATAACAGGTACAGTCAGTATCGCAGTTTGTGTGGTTCCGTTTTTAGTACAGTGGAATAAGTGACTGTGAATCATGACGTGATGGATTTATTATTATATATTTATTTTAATATCGATGTTTGCTTGAATTAAATTTATATTTACAAGTGTACACAACTTATACAGTTAAATATCTTTTGGGAAACTCCCGTCTATTCTCTAAAGTTGTAGAAGATTCTCGAGTGTAAGAATCAACAATATATGTACGTAAATGCTTAATGTAGCTTTGTATTGTTACGTAATCTGAATTTTCTAGAAACTCTCCACATGCCAATAAGTATAACCAACGCGACGCGCCAAAAAAGTAGTATCTATTATTAATTTGCTATAGTCGGTGTGCTATAAACTTCGGAAGCTATAACAGTGATTGTTATAATGCTTATCAATCGGAAAACTTCAAATATTGGACAGGGAGCATTTACAAAGTTCGAACATTACAAATCATTTAACTTCAGTGGATTCTTATCGGACATTAGTATTTTTACGAAAACATTATATAACTTCATCGTGGAAAACTCGGCGTGTGTGGCTGATAAATAACTAAGGACAAAGCTAGCTAGCTCCCCGTGAAGTGAATCGTACCTACATCAACTCGTAATTAACTCGCTTATCGTGAACCTTCGATAAGATATCAAGGAAGTTCCAGACTAGAAAGAAGACTTTATATTGCTTGTAAGTTTTTAAAATTTTTGTACATAAATCACTGTGTGTATCAATCTTGTTGGAAAATATTATAAACTGGAGATATATCGGCAAATAATTAACTACTAAATTTAAAGTATCAGTTTACTCAGTTTCAGACCTTTCGAAATTGTAATACGTAACAATATACATTATTCAGTACGAACTAAAAGTGTTATTTTCTACTAATAAAGAAACCAGGACACGAATGAAAACTTTCAATGATACTTACTATGTGTCATCCATGCTTATGGACACTAGCCCAAATTCAAATGTTAACCTGCAAAAACTGGCAGTAGGCCTACTGAAGTAACAGAGTCAGAGAATGTTAGGGAAAATGAATATGAGTATGCCTTGTGCGTCTGATAAAATACTGTTTGGAAATATTAATTTGTCAATACTACACACTATCTCGCATACAACTAATAACCCTGCCTTGTCTAATCATTCAAGCTCTAACATAGGGAAGTGTGTTAACTTTATGAATCTATGTTTGGAACTACTAGCAAAGGAAGTATGTGTTGTATATGCACTGTAATATAATATCCCATACTAATTCCTACTCTAAAATTGCCAATACGACATCAGTTGTCGGTCTCTCTGATAAAGAGAGGATTTGGAAATATTTATTATAATGCAAAGCTGAGCATGCGCACTGAGCTTTAGTGTGAAGGTTGGGTTGATATAAAAAAATACTAGTTATGTACCAGACGGTCAGCGTAGCCACAGAGACACGCGAAGAATACATGGCTGACAAGATATCGGAAATCATGGTAGAAAATGGGGTTGCAATGTTTCTTGCTATTCTATATCACCCTGCGACTGGATCTTCTTATAGCCACATCATGAAGCTGAAAACATGCTTGAACAACCGAGATATCCTGCAAACATGTCCAAGATTCTGTCCGATGACATCCAGAAGACGAAGAAAATATTGACTGTCTCTTTGTAACTATCTGTGAAAACAAGCTTGATCTCCAATTTGCTTTACCAGTTTGGTCCAAACAAATTCGCCATCCAGGCTCGAACGAAGTCATGTATAAGTGAAAAAATCGATCAAGGCCTGAATCCTAGTCTTCCTAGACAAAGGGTCTTCTGGGTAAGAATTGAGGAAATGACCAAGATTTTGTTACATCTCACTAAATGGAAGAGTGTATGCAAACACCTTTGTACCGAAGGGTTGCAAAGAGTGGCCAAGGATAACAACATATACCCGGTGCATTAGAGACTAAATATTTTTCTGTTAACGTCAGAGTAGAAAATCTCTCTGACACTGAATTATCACTCCCACTTTTCACACATTTCTACACAAATTGTTTGACCCATAGAGCTTCCCTGCTTCTTTACTGAGCCTAGTCAGACAAAACTTCTCTCGAGTAAACATCAAGCATAGTGGTAAAGATCAAACAGAGTTACTGCGACCTTCCATAAGTTTGATGCTCCATCGACGTCATCTATTGCAAGCATGATTTAGAATGTTTGTTACCACGTGAACTGAGTGCCGAGAATTGGTAGTTGGAAAAGTAAATAAATTAGAATCAAGAGTTTCTCTAGCAGGTCGTTCTTAGGGTATCTGATTGAAGGATGGTGAAAAAATAAACAAATTTTAATCCTAAATAATGACCTGTATTTCAGAACTCATATTTAATTTTAAGTGTTCGTGGTTCGTGGTGTGGTTTCTTTTAATCAATTTTACGGTAATTTTCACATTCTCAGCCATCTCTTCAGTCTGATCCCCATTCATCAAAAATTCCTAATTTTCCTTTTCTGTGAGTAAGCAAACTCTTCAGAAACTTTGATTCTTCAAAGGATTCAGCCTCATTTTGAAGTCGATCAGTAGAAAAATGGAACATACCTGTTCACATGCTTGGTCTCTAGTATCAGTTTATCTAGAAAATATCCGTTTATTGTGTGCTATAAGCACTTTTCTTTGAAGTAGTCCTCTAATTGTTTAAAAGTTAATTCCAATTAGATAATGGTTGGTCAAAAACTTGTTGGACAAATTTTCAAATATATTTTTAATCAGTTTACGTTTAATATAAATAGAAAAAGATCACAAGTTAGTAGTTTGGTTCAACATGTTTACTTTAAAAACGTTAAGTAAAAAATAAAAATGATCTTGCAGAATGATAACACATCTACTACTGTATTTAATTCTGCAAACACTAACAAAATATACTGTTACGTCTCTGGTCGTTTGTTAATTTCCCGTAAGAATTCTTTCCGAAGAACTTCAGTGATACAACTCCTTTCTTAAATAAAACTAGTTTATTCTTTCTCAACACAACTTTGCAATACACAGAATTTCCACAGTCACTTTAACTTTAACACACGCTATAATTCACAACGATTCACGCAG